CCATAATAAAGCTGAACGATTATTAATATAATATTCAGAAAGACAAGCTCCCTTTCTATTATAAGCCAATTGTTTGGTATCTTCAAGTGTACAAGGTCTATTATTTGCGCAATATGGACACCACGTCTTATTATTTTTCACATTGTTAAAAGATGCATTCCACTCATGCCCTTCAGAACAACGCCATGATAAAGGTGACAAACTATTATCATACGTTTCGGAAAGGCATTCTCCATTCTTACTAAAAGCAACTTGCTTAGCATTTTCAATTGTATGACTGGCCTTATTTGCACAATACGGACACCATGTCTTACCGTTCTTTATATTGTTAAGAGATGTAGTCCACTCATGACCGTCTGCACATCGCCATCGCATTGGAATGTTAGCATTAACATATTCAGTAGAAAGACAAAGTCCACCACGTTTTCCAGCAATTGCTCAAGCATCGTTTATTGTCAACTTTCTCATTGCAAATAGGTGATTCTTCATCAAAAAAATCAAAACTTTAATTTCAGGAGTAATGAATCTTTATTATCCTTTTTTTCGCTTCTCTCGTAACTCTACCTCTTTTTGGAGGTCTAATGGATCAAATCTCAACCGAACTGCCAGTGGATCATCATCTGATTTATTTAGATCAAAGACAATAAATTCACCTTTTCGAAGATAACTATTAACAACCATAGAGGTATTTTTCACATCTTCAGTATATCGTCCAATGATCTTGGAAATATCTTGATAGGAACTGCCACCATTAAAGACTACTAGATGTGAAATATTTTCACGGATAATTATTGGTGTATGATGGTAACGTTGTGTTACATATATGCTTGAAATGTTTCTATGACGCCCATGAGTAAAGAAAGGGATGATTTGATTTTGTATATATTCTGGGGCAACGCACAAGTCTTCAAAAATAATGACGGTGCTTCTTTCTGGTGAAAATGATTTCACATTTGGAATCCTTTCGGGAGAAATATAGCTAAATTGTATATTCTCATAGTAAGACACTTTTGGATCCTTTGAGATCATATTATATATATATCTCACATATGCCCATTTTGGCTCATCAGGATGGTAACCACAAACTATCTTACCTTTATATATGCATTCAGCTTTATTGCCGAGAAAAGATTTGCCAAGATATTAGTCTTACCTTATCCACTCTTCCCGGTGACTAGCATAGAGAAAGGCCATGATGGACTCACAGGATGCGACTGAATTCGGGATGATTCGTGCTTTGTGGCCTCATCCATATCCATAAGGTAAAGTTTCATAGGGGTAGTCTTGTTTTTTGGTTCTTCTGTGTATCGGATTAGGAATCCATAACTATGATTTCTATAGAATGGATAAAAAGTTTCTTTCTTTTTGGTTGGACAAAAAGTTCGTCCGTATATATACCATATAATTAATATCATCACGAAGGCTAATATAATAAACAAGAATATAAGCGGGATTATATACTGATCAGGGTTACTACCTCCTAACGCAATAATAGGTACGGCTAAAATACTATTACAATCCCCTTTTCCATTGGGCTCGCGCTCTGAGCAGTGTGAAGAAAAATGGGGTATCTCTTCTACTGTTTCACTATGCTTATAATCGCTGGATGATGGATTTTCTATGGGCAAATTTTTTCCGAAACATAATGTCTCAGAAATTTCAGTCTCATGATCCGCTTCTGCATTACCTATTTTTGAATCATGAGATATTTGATGTGATTGTGAAGCAAACTGATCTAGTTCATCTCTTTCAGCTTTGCGTTCTAGATCACTTACCCTAGACCTGAAGCAGAAAATTAATCCATCCTTAAATGATGAATTTTGCGTAACTTTCTCCAGTTCATTTTTCAATTCCTTCACTCTGATCTCAAGACACCCTTGTTCTATCAAACTGCATAAGGGATCATAGGTAAAATTTTCACTTAATTTTTCTGACTTTGAGCTTGCAAGAAGACGGGCTTCCAGTTCATTTATTCTAACCTCAAGAGAGGTAATTTCAGAATCCTTTAAATTAATCTCAGACTTTAGCGATTTTATTTCTTTTAATTGTTTGGCATTAAGATCAGCATGAGACTTTCGTTCGCAAGTAATTTGGGAAACAAGCTTATTATTCAAACCATTTAGTTGCTTAGATAGGGGGATAAATTGATTCATAGAATCTTGCATACGCTCATTTTCTTCATGTGAGTGATCTAGATCATTTTGCATACACTTATTTTTTTTATCTAAGGCATAATATTTAGCTATAAGCTGTTTGGCAGATCTTATAAACATTTCACGATCTTTTTTTAGCTGTTCTTCAAGTTCTAAACGGCTAGGTGGATATCGATTGGATGGAGGGCTTCCAAGTTTACTACCATCATTATTACCTACATCATTCAAGGTATAGATTCGAGGCATAGTTTTTTATCCTGCAAATATAGACAAAAAAAAAAAAAATAAAAATATTTTTTTGAAATAATATGCTCTTCTTATATTTCCAAAATGATACATTTATCCTAATTATTCCTTTTGAATTAATGTATTTATCCTATTTATTCTATTAAATTATTTTTGAAATAATACATTTTTTCTAAATATTAAAAAGATTATGCTTATCTTATTTATCTCAAAGAATATATTGTTTCTATTCATCATATTTAATATTTTTTTGAAATAATTTATTTGAAAAAAAATACGCTATCGAGATTATGGTTAGACAACATATGAATTGTAATGCTCCTCCATTCTTACCAACCGATTATGATTTTATTATGCAATGTGAAAATAAAAGGCTGAGGAAGAAAGTTTTAGATGAATTAATGGGCAAATATAATACATCAATGAAGCGCATATATCAGATTTGGAGAGGTGAAGAAGCTAATAGAATTGCCTGGAATCAACCAATAGCTGATATTTCTGCCGGATCTGAAAGAGTGGTCTCAGATGGATCTGCTATAATGCCATCTGCCAAAATAGGAGGGGCCACAGGTATTACTTTCTCTCTACCTGACTTACCACTAAAGAAAAATAGCTGAAAAAAGAAGTTAAGTAAAACGAGTGTAGCCTCTACTGAGACGGATGATACTATTAACCATACTTCCTCTAATAATAATATATCTAGGATGAGATCTGAACTTGAAAAAGTATTAAAAGAAATAGATGATATCGGTAATTCCATTCCTTGAATCAGCGTCAGAGGCGGAAGATGTATATATCCTTACTACTTTTCAGCAAGTATTTTTATGGCGCTTATTGCCTTACCAAGCCACTCTTCAGCTTTTGCAAGATGTTCTTCAAGCTTTGTACAATTTACGCACTTTTTTTAAGTCCTTCTCACTAGTCGGGCTAAAGAAATCGGTAGATACTTGGTCCTGCTCCTCTTTTGGCAGATCTTTGACTACCAGAGCCTTGTTAAAAGTTGGGATAATATATGCCTTTCCATATAACTTTATGCGAAACTGGTTTTTATTTGGCTTGGGGATGCCTTGAACCTTTCGAATGTTTGACATACCAAAAAATAGCATTGGTTCTGTTTCACCATTATTGATACGAACAAAATTTCCAATGACCGTGACTGTCTTATCTTCTTTATCCTTCAAGGTAACTGGCACGTCTGTATACCATCCTAATGAATCAGTAATATGCTTGGAATTGCCCTTTATGGCAAAATTAGATGGTTTATCAACCTTCCATCCAAGCGCTTTGATTGCTGGGTCATTTATACTACCAAACTCACTGCCAGGATCTAAAAAAGATTCAGAAATAGTTAAGTCATTTATATTAGCATTCAGATATTGTAAAGATGACAGCCACTCATCTGATTCTTTCGATTCCTCCTCGTGAGCCTTTCGAGACAAGCATATTTTTTGTATTGGCGGTGAGAGCTTAGATATTAGCTCATCATATGTTTCAGGCTGGCTGGATTTTGAGGACAACTTTTCATTCACTAGCACCTGTTTTTTTTTACCGGTAAATCATATCCAGTCCACATATTATTTTCTTCATCATAGCCGTCTCCTTCATTATCCGAACCTGGAGGCGTGTTTTGGAAATTTATAGGTGTGAGAGGCTTAAAATAACCCCGATTAAAATTGGATCGTGCAATCTGCTTAGGACAACTACCTTTACTATGGCCTGTTTCTCTACAAATATCGCATTTACGTATATTTAGTTTCTGGAATTGATTTGTTAGTTGATTTACAGCATTACAAGTTTCATTTATCCCCTCTTCTACTCTATCAATTCTAGCAGAGACATTGTTTCGCTGTGGACGGGGTCTTTGAAAATTTTTTACAGGATAATCAGAGTCTAATTCTTCCTTACTAAATACACCTAAATTTTTTAAGAATTCGGATACATAATAATTCTTGAGACCTTCTTCTGTCTTTAATGTAGATGGTGGACCTCTCGGCTGTCTAACCGGTTCAACAGTTTGTGAGGTAGATACTTGCTGAGCCATTTGCGATTAAAAATCAGATTTTTGCTTTTCTAATAAAGACTGGTATTCAGTTTTTTGCTGTGCCAGTGCATTTTGAATTATTTTTTGCATATCTTCTAAAGAAATTCCTTGCTGTTGCGAGGCTGAAACAGGCGAGGGTTCATATATTTCTCGAGATACTCATTGAGATACTAGCAGATCAGATATTCTATCTCTTTTATGTCTAGCAATTCGTCTTAACTCTATTTTATAAAGCTTTTTAGCTAATTCATCTAATGGCAAATGTTTACCAATATCCTCAGCTTTTTCAAGCCATAGGAGTGGAAGAGCATCTAAGAACTTTCTACGTAATTCTTTAGGTCTATAGTTGGCTCGTCTACCTATTCGTAATATTTTTCTATATAATCCATCTATAGTCATATCCCCTTTTTGATTATTCCATACATCATATCCTGAAGCTCCTCTTCTACTGTAGGAAAATGAGTCTTTAACCATCATACTGCTTGACCAAATCGGATACCGGCTACAACTACTGTAGTACTATTACCAGCATTTGGTGCATTTACTAGAAGGTTAGTAGGACGTCCTCCTGCTACACGCCAGTCTTCATCCCAAGGATCTTCTACAGCTCTTAATTTGATTATTGCATTTCCAGGTTGTCTGGCCATCTCATTTAATCCATCTGCACCTATTTGGACTGCTGTACGTCCATTTACTGCTACCAAATTGGCTTGTCCTATACCATCAGTCAGGTTAGTTAACTCTCAATTTTGCTTTGTAGTTATTTCTTCATCAAACCATTCTAAGGTCCTTCCTCTCATATATGCTCTTAAATGTCCTATTGCTTGAGCTCTTCCATTTGCCCCTGCACCTGCTGGATCTATTCCCCGATTCTGCAAGTCTAGTCAAAGTTGTGCAAGAAAATCTGGGATACTATCATTCCAGTCAAAATATGGATGAGGTATTCCTGCCATGTTTATTTGATTTGGTGGATTATTCTGAAGCGCCAAAATTTGTGCCTGCAAATTTAAATTATTTTGGCGTTCTGCGTGAGTCTTATTTTTCCACTTTTCATATCATTCATAAAGCCTGTCCCGATTATACTCTAATAAATCTATATCTTCTCTACATCGCTGTAGGTGGTGGGCGTTTTGCTGATAGAGTAACTGTAAGGCAAATTTTTCCTGTAATAATACACCAATACGGGTTCGCTTCCTTGTTATATTGCCTAACATTCTATTTACTTGACTTTGAGCATTAGCCCGCAACTGCTGAAGATCACCAACAACCCTATCCATCGCTCCTTCAGCAAGATCTCTTTGCGTAATAGCAAGATCTCGCTCAGCCTCTGCATCATAGCGCCTTCTTTGCTTACGGACTAAATCCTGATGCAAATTATTCTCTTTTCAGCGTATCTGCCTTGTCACCCTTTTTATTTGATCTATTAGAATATCCCTGGCCGTTATCCTATTATCCACATAACCATCTATAGCATTTGCTAGCTCTGTGATTGTGGCCATATTATCATCAGAATTATACAAGTCTGGAGAATTCCCTCGTTCAGGCGTATTTTTTCGTGATGAGATGGCTCTGATCTGACATCGTAGTCTATTAACTTGCTCTTCAAATTCTTCCAAGTGCTTTTCTAGATCAGTAATAACCTTTTCCTTATCTCGTACATCCTTCTTGGCTTGATATAGCTGACTTTTTAGGCTGGAGATTTCAGATTTCAACTCTACTATCTCTTCTTTCGAAGCATTCTTAAGACGCTCTATTTCCCTATTGAGAACTTGGATTTCCTGTTCACACTGGGAATAATCTCGCTCCAGTTGGTTAATTCGACTTTCATTCTGGCGGTTAAGATTTACCTCCGTTTGCAATTCACTACGAAGATGATAATTCTCCTCCTCCAGCTCAGCTTTATATTCTTCACACGTTCTTCTCTGCCTTGGATGAGGCCTCCGAAATGCCATTCTTTTTTCGTGGTTATATAGAAAGATGGGAGAACCGGTTATTTATATAGATCCTCAAAAAGCATATGATCTTGATCAATATCTTACTTTGCAGAAGTACAAGAAAAAAAGTATTCTGACTAATAAATAGAATCTGACTTCATAGATGTCAGCTCTCTTTTCGCCTCCAGCAACTGCATCTTCAGATCCTCATTTTCATATCACAATCTTTTATTTGCAGTAACCCGCTCTCTATATTCCCTTTCTATGTCTTATATAAATTTTCCAAAAGTTCGTCTATTATAATCGAGCAGGTGCTGGGATAGGACTTTAAGCTCATTCATAACCTGGCGATTATTCTCTTCTTCATGATTATGCTTTAGTGCCTGGTTCGAAGAACCTCTCTGGTCTGGCCAAGTGCTATCATCAGTTTGGGTTCCGTTATCTGCAACGTATATAGTTGATATTTTTTTGAATGGTAATAATATTGGGCACTCTGACCAACTTTGAGTTCGTCTCTGACGCATTAATCTTTTCTGATATCTAATAGCTTCATGTTTTAAAAACGATTCTACAATTGGATTAATTTTGCTGACCTCTTTCTCAGATAATGGATTACGCTTTTGTGATATAAGACGTATCCATGCCTCATTTATTAGGGAAGCTGGTAATTTCGCTAACAAGTCAGAATATGCTTGGTTAAACATCATTATATATTTATACATTGCGCAAAAATGGAATTTCATGAAATTCCAAAAAGATAGACCATTTTATTGTATCAGGATCATAGCATTAAAAGCTTTTAGAAGTTTACGCGTCAATGTCGCGAGAGATCTGCTAGAAAGCTCCAATCAAATATGCACATGACACCCGATCATTGGTCAACAAGAAAAAATCATTTTGGCAGAGGTGCCCTGCTGAAATTTTGCCAAATTAATACATGATCATGTTTTTCGTGACACAGATAACAAGTTTTTTATTAATTCGTTTTGCGATTGCGTATCTTCCAATTTTACAACTCTGGCCTTAAGCTCAACATTTTCGGTCTTAATTTTATTGTTCTCAGCCTCAAGCTCGCTAATGTGTTGTTTTAATGAATCGATCTCACTGGGAGGCTCAAAAGGGACGGGACCATCTATTTCAGATTGCATGCTTACATAATGTAGTATTAGTATGTTAATATTCAAAAATAAAGAACAGTTCCCTGAGGGAACGATTAGTCATGTGATTTCCCTCACAGCCCGTAAGCGAAATTTACCAAGAAAAGTTTTATTATCTAGCACATATCTCACACAAAAAAAAATATAGATGAATATGTAAAAATAATCGGCCACCAGGGCACTTTATTAATATAGGAAAAGTAAAATACAAATTTACTATATACACATGACTTATTCAGAATCTACATTCGAACTGTTTTTGTTTCTCTTGGACCTAACTGGAGGTGTGTTAAGTAGTAAAGACATATTCACTATTAGAATATTCCGTAAAATTAGTAAAGTCCTTACAAAATTTGTTACGATAGATGGATCTGATTGTTGTATAGGAATTTCTACTTCGTAAAGATGGTAATAACGATGTACATTTTCCATATCTCTAATGAGAACATTTAAACGTATTGTTTGTCCAGCCACTTGCATTCCAATAATTCCAAATTCATCTTTATCTGGCCCAGATGATTTGTGAACCCAATACATCCCATCATTAGTTTCATGCTATAGCTTTATTTCATCATCTTTTTCTTTCTGCGGTGTACAAGACAAGCGTAAGCTTTCAACATATATGAGCTCGTATT